ATAGATAACTGTTTGAAATAAGAACATTGAGGAGATAGTAAATGCATGTATCCTTTCTAGTGATAAGTGTATAGATAAAATGATAAATTTATGTGAGCTTTAACCCCATTCTGTTTTGAATTTGGAAGGATTCCTGGTTACTCTGTCTTGGCTGTGTGTCCTCTTATTAAAACACAGTGCACATATAATTACAAGGCACTCTGTGGAACAGTGAGAATGCCTGTTAACCACTTCCCGTCCTGCCCATGTACATAAACGGCCGGACGGGAGCAGTGCAGGAGTGGGTGGCCGTTTATAAACGGCACCTGCATTCGCAGCATGTGCGTGCTCCCTGGGAGCGCGCGGCACCGCAAGCCAGTGCCCGCTGTGTCCTCTGGACACAGTGGAACACCAATCGCTGTACGGGACCTCTGTGTGAGGTCCCGATCATGTGATCACTGACTGGCCAATCAGTGATCACATGAATAGTAGTAAACAAGATGTCACTTCCTGACAACATTGCTTACTACTAGTGAAATCTGTGAATGATCCCAGAGGTCACATGGTACAAAGCGATTCACAACAGCCTTGTACCATGTGACAAGCTGTGACCAATCACAGCTTCACAGTATTTCTCAATGGCTGCAAGAATGCAGCCAGAAAGGAGGAGAAATGATTGCTTTTACAGCCTTTATGGGTGTAAAAGCAATCGGTGTAAAAAAAAAATCCTCATCACCCCCTACTAGTACAGTGTCACTATGGTGGCACTGTACTGCTAGGGTGACAGCATGTTTAAAAAAAACATTAATATAAAAAAAAAATAAAAATGTAAAAACATTTTTTGAAAAATTATAATTTTTGGTTGTAAACTAATTTTTTTTTTTTTTTTTTTTTACTAAAGATAACTGAATAAATTTTGGCCAAGATTTATGAAGAAAGATTATTTGCAAAATTTTATAAGAAAAACACTTTTTTTCAATATTTTTAGACATTTTCATTTATATAGCAAAAAAAAAATAAAAATCCCAGTGGTGAATGAATACCACCAAAATAAATTTTTATCGGTCTCCAAATCTAAAAAAATGCTAAATTCATATGGGTACAGTGTTGCATGATCGCACAATTATCATTCAAAGCGTGATCACACTGAAAGCTTAAAATTGGCCTGAACTGGAAGGGGGTGAAAGTGTCCGGACATGAAGTGGTTAAAATAGATGTTCCTTTGTGTGACATGGCATATACAACTGAGAAGCAGAGGTGTTTTTTGTTTTTTGTTTTTTTTTCTTTACATCCAGTTCACACCAGAACTCCAAGCAGGAACCCCCGCTTTCCATGTGCATTTCCCGCACTGTGTTCAAAACGCACTACTAACACCCCCCAAACGCAAGTCGCAAATGCAATGCGTTTGCCTGCACTGGATCGCATTAGTAAAGAAGTATCAATCCGGTTGCTCTAAAGTAAAGTGCATGCACTACTTCTGCTGTGGTCCAGTGCATTAAAATGAATTGGCTGAAATTGCACTGCACCTGGATCGAGTGTGTTCCTGTACGACTCATGCTGTTGTGTGTTTTTTTTTTTTTTTTTTTTTACTTTGGATAGCATGGGGACAGGTCAGAACCTCTATCAGGATGTGCTGTATTTGTACCCATTCGGGAGAGTCCTCCTACTTCCTCTTCTGTTTTGATGTCAGTCACTTGGACAGGAAGTGAGGGAAAGTCTTACCTTACTGGGTGCAAACACAGCAACAAATTATGACAGAGATTGTTTGTTGTTTGTGTTTTTTTTTTTTTTTTTTTTTTTTTTTTTTTTTTAGTTTTCCCCTTACTTCCTGCTCTGTCGTACACCGATCAGACAGGAAGTTTGGCAATATCGCTCCAATAGCGTCAGGAAGTAAAAGGTACTCCAGGTATTTTGAGAGATTGTTGTCATTATTGCATGCTTTTTCCATATGTAGCTCATACTACTAGTTGACAGCCATCTAGTTCATGTTCTACACATCGTACGCATTGTCTAAAATTGTTCCAACAGCAGAAAAGGGAAAATTGTAGGGCCCATTCACACCAGTGCAATGTGGTGACGCATGTGAATGCTATGTGGTGCCATTCATTCAACGCACCTTCTTAACACTCCTGCTTTGCAGTATTGCACTACTGTGAACTGTACTAGAGAAAATGCCTTAGGGCTGATATTAGGCAGTCCATTTAAATAAACACTACACTACTGTACTGTATCTATGGAGGAATACAGTTGTCAACCTAGGACAGGAAGTCTGTTAGGACTACAGAACCCGTCTCTTTCCTCATCTCCATGACAGAGGGGAAGGAATTCTATAATTCACTGAGAGAGTGTAGACAGGGTTGATGATGTTTGAGGTTGTAGTGCACTTGGCTCTCTACAGGAACTGGACTTGACTTGAAGTCTTAACTAAATGCAAAACATACTTTTTTTTTTTTTTTTTTTGGAATAGAATAAGTGAAGGTTATAACCGTCAGTTTATTTTTCTTTGTCATCTGTGTCCCATTGGGGAGATTTCCCTTCACTTCCTGTCCCATTGCCAAAACAGGAAGTGAAAGGAAATCCCTCTAAAGTGGGGGAATCCAAATGTGTCACCAGAACTAGTGTCCCCATTGGAAGATTTCCCCTCTGTTAGTGTTCTCATGTCAACTCAAAAATTTTGGTTTTTCATTTACTTTCACATTCCATGATAATGGTAAACTAAACAAATAGAGAGGGTGAATCTCCTTAACACAGACAGCAATAAAAACTGACAGGTGTCCTAATCCCTCCCTAGGCTATCCGATGATTAAACAAAGTTTTGCCTTTTAGTTATCCTTAAAGCTAGATATTTTAAAATAATATATATATATATTTATATATATATTATTTTTTATTTTTTTTTATCTGAACCAAATTTATTAAGAAAATGTGTGCAAAAAACATGGTGAATTGCATTTAAAGCTGACAGTACATGATGGATTGTGTTGGGTTACTATTTCCACTTGCTCTTGTTTATTGTATTGAGTCAGTGAAAGATTGTTTTGCTTTAAAGGCCAATTCACATCACAATTTCTGCTTTCTGGATGCATTCCTGCTTGCATGTTTTTGCTGTGTTCATGTGTGATTTTATTTTTTATTTTATTTTTTTTTTACTTCATCTGCATTCCGGTGTGTCTTTGATGCGTTCCGAAAAATAACCAAAAAAAGCTTCTTGGTGCCAAATCCTATGATGATACAAAAGAAAAAAAGACCGAACTAATAAGTACGGCAAAAACATTGGATTCTTTGGGCACAGTAAGAGACCACACGGGTAAAATACAACCATTTATTGACATAAAAGGAGTCCTATATTCATAATAGGACCCATGATACAAACATACCCCTCAAAAAAAGGGGCAAAACCATAGAAAATCATAATAAGCACAACGCCTCCCTCGTGTGTGTGTGTGTGTGTGTGTGTGTATGATATATAGATATATAGATAGATAGATATTTAGATTCTCTATCTATCACTGAGCACATAATTATAGTAACTGCAATATGCATACATCAAAATACGGTCAATGCGGTTCGCCTGTGCATTTGGCTTCTTCAGGACCGTAGCTTGAATATGAGGGAAAGTAGTGCTACTGCGTGTATAAAGAAATACAAAATGAGTGTACAGACAATCACACAAATGTACATAAGATAAACAAAATACACGTGTATAAAATCGAGCTAAGCTTACGTGTAGAGGGCGGATCAGCGGCAAGAGAGTCTGGAGGGCGGGCATAGGGGACCAGAGCACGAAGAAGGCCAAAAGGGAACTCAAAGGCCAATTGTAGTATACAGGAATCCTATAATAGGAAATATATGAAACTAAAACGCCAATATGGTTTGAGTTGGCCAATACTCACAGCAATTCTATAAATCATCTACTTCCATCAAGGGCATAAAAGCCCTATACCCACAAAGACATGGAGAGGATCACAGATGAGGAATTGCTAAGACATTGGTGGGCCTGCAAAATAGCCATATATTAGTGGGATTGAGTAATTAAAATTGGTGTATTTGCCATATAACAAAAATAGCCCACCTGCATAACTGGCCAGCAAGAGCAACATACTAACATGAGAGTGCCCAGTCCCAACTGGAATTCCAGATATGCCCATATAATGTAGGAGCCAGATGAAGTGGCAGAGTAACCAGCCAATTATGTAATAGTAGTCAATCAAGGTGTATTATACCTAGGTGTCTATAATACCAAACTATAATGGGCACTAAGTAACTGGCCTCAGACAGATGGGAAAGAAGGGAGGGCAAAACCAATATGTATTAAAGTACTCCACCTTCGTATGGTATCGGTATATGAAGGAATAGCAGGCCCGCACCGAATTCCTCCCATGTGTCCCCTATAGAAAGAACAATATCTATAAAAGACCAGTATATAAATAATAATGACACATCCCACACAAAGGGAACTTGAAACAATAGTCCGAGAAAGTATCTGCTGGGAGTATATAAGACACGCCACATCGCACTGGATAACCCCCACCGTGTCACACACGGGAGTCCATGAAAGGACGCGGTCCACATCCATGATGGCGCAGCGTACGCTCACCCTAAATGGGCCCACGCAGATGACGTCAGCCGTACGCAGCGCCAAAGGAGTGGCGCACATGCGCCGAAGACTGCTAGCGCAGGCACACCGACAAGGGAGTGGCAGTGGACCCCCGGAGACTGCGGACATACACCGGCTGCTCCACAGTCACCGTCCCAAAAAGGGACGGCGGGCGTATGTGTTCCGGTGTGTTTTTGATGCAGATTGCCATGTTCCGAATGCATTCCAGCAGAAAAACTGCAACATGTTCTACTTTTTCTTTGACTTCACCGATGTGAACTAAGGCCATTAGAATCCATGTTAAACACTGTCCATGCATTTTTGATGCAGGATAAAAATGCACTGGACTGCATTTGGTGTGAACTAGCCCTTAGTTCATGTATATTATCTGTAATCTGAACCATTCCCAGAAGTGGGCCGGTAAGGTATAATAATTTAGACAACACATATATACATAGAAACCAATTTTCTATTTTCTGCAGGAAAATACCAACTCTCTTGGAATACCTTAGCTACCACCTGAATTTTATGAGTGTCCTAGCTGGTCCCTGCAGCAATTTCCAGGACTACATTGCCTTTATTGAAGGAAGTCACATACGATCAAAGTTAAAGGAAGTCGGCTTGAAAGAAAAACGCCTTGTGTCAGATCCTTCCCCAAATGTGAGTACTAAAGGTATACAGCTTCCTTTTCTCACTTATTTTTATAGCCAACTTGTGTGCTTCATCTTGGGTCTTGGTTGAATAGAAATGGTCAGAATCAACAGTTTATTTTACCCTTTAGTGCATATAAATTCTGATAACTGCTCTTGGAATTCTCTCCTTTTTACCATTTATTGACCATGATTAAAGCTGAGCTCCAGGCCGATATAAAAAACACAAATGAATGCAGCTATGTATTTTATTGATTCATTATTTTGAACTGTAACTAGTGAAAGTACTCCAATTTGGCTTGGAATCAGCCTCTCACAATCCCTGTATAGCAGCACTAAAGCTGGCTATACATGTGTATAACAACAAATTTTAATAATCTTTATGCTCACCTATCAATTGTGCAAAAAGCGAGCTGGAGCTAAAACCTTTTCAATTAGTCACCCAATCTACTAAAACAGAAAATCAGTGCCCGTATTCTAATACTGTTCCAACGCAAATATTAACATGAATCTACACAGTAATGCCTTTACACAGTGTATGTGTATCACACATAAATGTGAGGAAATAAATGGTGAACATATATCAGAAATGGTACATAAATTCATCAGTCTGTGTTCAAAAAAAGTAATAATTCTCATTCCGAAAATTAGAAAGAAATCCCAGTGTGCTCGTTGAATCTCAACCACCAACAGAAAGGAAGGATAGATTCTCACCTCTAATTGAGACCTTTTGAGTTTTATAAAAGGTCGTAATAAGCTTGTTCCCTTTAAAGTTGGGATCAACTGGACACTGGTTCACTAATTTATATTTTCTCTCACTTGCTCAATTAGTTAGTACAATTTGCCCTATTCTTGTATCATGCCTGGATTTTTCTCTCTGTATGCTGAAATATATTTCTTTTATTAAAAGTAAGAACCACACTTACAAAAGCACTATGAATAAAGGCATCAACGTTATTGTGTAGAGCAGGATGCAACCCATGGCTCACTGGTCACTGCTAAGTCCAGCTGACAGCTCATACGCTCGGATTTATCGGGCTGCTACTTTCAACAGGAATCGCTACTCCCAGGGGTGCTCAACCTGTAGCCCTCTGAGCCTTCTGATGTGGCTCTCAACCTCAAACCAGTGAAGTGCATGTCCAGATCCCGATGAACGGCTTGCCGACCCACCTTTTCAGAGCATCACAGTGCATCAAACCGGCAGCATAGGAAGCAGGAGCTGTATAAGCTGATGCTTCCTCTGTAGCACCGTTTTTTTCCCCAGGTTGAGTGATACCAAGTACAATTGAAAAGGATTTCTTTTTATGAGGAGGTGAGCAAAACCTTGGACAGAGGGGTGGCTGTGGACGTGGTATACTTGGATTTTGCAAAAGCGTTTGACACAGTTCCCCACAAATGGCTAATCTGTAAGGTAAAGTCTACAGGCTTGGATAAATCATTATGTAAATGGATAGAAAACTGGATAAAAGATCATATTCAGAGAGTAGTGGTTAATGATTCATACTCTGAATGGTCTAGGGTTGTCAGTGGTGTACCCCAAGGTTCAGTGTAGGGGCCCTTACTTTTTTAATATATTTATAAACTATATACAGTAGGGTCTGGGATTAAAAATCCCATTTCAGTCTTTGCAGATGATGCCAAGCTTTGCAGTGTTTTTACAGGATGTCTCCGATTTACAAGCCGCCCTCAATGCACTGTTTTATTGGGCAACTATGTGGCAAATGAGGTTTAATGTTGATAAATGAATATGCATGCGTCATACATACTAGGGGGAGTACAATTTGGGGAATCAATGGTGGTGAAGGATCTGGGTGCTCTGGTAGATCATAAGTTTAGTAATGGTATGCAGTGCCAAGCTGCGGTTTCTAAAGCGAGCAAAATCCTTTTTTTTTTTTTTATTAAAAGGGGTATAGACTCCTGAGAGAGAAAGATATCATTTTACCCCTGTACAAATTATTAGTAAAACCTCATCTGGAATATGCAGTTCAGTTTTGGGCACCAATTCACAAAAAAAGAACATTGGGGAACTGGAGAAAGTGCAGTGAAGGGCAACCAAACTGATAAAAGACATGGAGGCGCTCAGCTATGAGGAAAGATTGGAGGAACAGAATGTATTCACTCTTGAGAAGAGGAGATTAAGGGGGGATATGATCAATATGTATAAATACATCAGTGGTTCATATAGTGAACTTGGTGTAGAGCTATTCACCCAGAGGTCATCACAGAGGACAAGGGGGCACTCTTTACGTCTGGAGGAAAAGAAATGTAATCTCCAAACATGGAAAGGTTTCTTCACAGTGAGAGCTGTGGAAATGTGGAGTAGATTCCCTCAAGAGTTGGTTCTGGCCAGCTCAGTGGATTCCTTTTAATAAAGGTCTGGATTCTTTCCTAGATACACAGAATATAACTGGATACTAACTATATAGGTAACGTTTATCCAAGGAAGATCCAATTGCCTCTCGGGGGATCAGGAAGGATTTTTTTTTTTTTTGTTTTAACCTGCAGGAACAAATTGGTTCATGCTTTGCTGAGGGGTGGGTGTTGCCTTCTTCTGTATCAACTGTGGATATAGGATTATAACTTTTTTTTTCTTTTTTTTGAACTGGAAGGACTTTTTTGTCTTCTTTCAGCCAGACTACCTATATAATTTCACCTGGGACCTTCTTTAGCAGCTTGGAGAGCGATGCCAGTTGAAGTTGGAAGAGGAAAAAAAGTCAATGTATATGCTGCGCTTATTGTAATGAGCAAAATTTCAGTGGGCTTTCACACTGAATCACTGGTGCAGGGCAGTGCACCTGCGGCTTAACTACGTGTTAGCTGCACTGAGCCATATACTTCTATTATATCCTTAATGCAAGTGTTTTTGGTGCACTTTCAGAAACCCACACTCCAGGTGCACTGTGCTGCACCCTCGGTGTGGGTAAATTGCAGTGCATTCAGTGTAAAAGCAGCCTTATAGGGGGCTCAGGACAGCAAGGGCTCATTTACGTTTGCAGTTTGGAGGAAGTGGCGGTAACGCTGGCGGTAAAAACCCCATAGTTTGTGTTGTGTTTTTATCACCCTCTTACCCAACCACCACTCCCCCCCCCCCCCAGCTACTGATGTAGCATTAGGCGGTGCAATTTAATTTCATTGTGGACCTTGACTGGTTACCAAATCACTTGTGTCCCTTGCTCTTCAAAAATTGGAGTATCCCTGTACCAGTCTGTGCTGTATGCCCGCGTGGCAATCTGCCCTACGCAAGTCAGTGATGACTTGATCAAGGCTGTAACAGATTTCTCCATCCACAGAAATGAGGGGGAAGAGGGAATCCCCTTCCTTCAGTACATTGTATTCTGACAAAGGGACCAGCAGCTGTCAGAATACACCGCTCAATGGCTGTTGGAGGGAGTCTTTTCCAACATGTTACTTTTACAGAATGTGATCATACGACAAACTTCTGTTGAGCAGAGATGGCCACATACTGATTAGAATTTGTATCCATTTCTGGCCAGCTTAAGACTGGGAAAAGGGACAATACTACAAGCCTATTATGTGTGCAGCATGCCAATATGAGGGGAAAGCTGGCAGGAGAAAAGAGCTAAGTGATCAGCAAGATAAATTTCTGCTAGCTCCTCCTTTATTGTAGAGTCAGAAGGTTAGGGGCAGATGGAACTACTGTCTTCCTTCAATGAAAGAGTAAATGGTGTCATCCTTCAGGCTGTGTTGTGTTAGTAAGCACTGGATGGACAGCCATAAATATTTCTTCATTGGGTAAAAGAATAATAAAGTAGAAAACAAGATTTTTGACAACGCATTGATGAAATTTATTTCCATTAAAGGTGAGCTCCAGCCAGATAAAACCAATTTATGCAGGTATTTTTTTCATGCTGAATAAGTGAATTTTTAAGAGCATCATCCTTGCATCAGCCTCCTGTACAGTAGAGTTCAGACTGAGAATGAAAAGCTGCAAAGGTAGCCAATAAGGTGTGCTGCAGTGCTCATGTCCTAACAAGGAGCATGCTGATAGGATGAGAGATACAGATGAGCTCATCTCTGTCTGCTGCTTTGCATTGACTGCCCAATCACAGACTGGGACAGGGATGAGCCCTAGTTGTTAATTGCAGAGAAGAGAAGTCAGGTCACCAGGCTGCCTGTGTTTCGTAAATCTTAGAAATGAATGAACATATATATGTAATTGACACGTAAAACAACTCCTGATATGTATGCAATCTGTACATTTATCTGTTTGCCTGGAGTTTTTAGCCTAATCTATATTAAGATAAAGAATAAGTGCACTTTCAAACGAAGTGCACTTATTCTTTTTCGTCCCTTAGCCCTGACCTAACTGATCCCACCCCATCCAGAGATGTATACTTCCCGAGATCTGAGGGCTGCAGTTTCAATTGTTTACATCCAACATTCCCTTTTCTAGCTGTGCCTGTGCATTACAACCCCATAGACCTCAGACCTCAGTACGTCTACATGTGTAAAGGGGAAGGATTGGATTGTTTAGGTCATGGCAGTGGGGCAAAAAGAATAGGTGCTTTTTGATTCTTTAAAAAAATGTGTTCCCATTCAAACAGCCATTTCCTTTTTAGGTTTCTATACAGAGACAATAGACACATATGGCTATGAATAGATTTTTTTTTTTTTTCTTTTGCTTCTGTATCCAGTTGCTTGAAGTCACACTGTTATGGAACATTATGTTGATTAAAATTATTTAAAAAAGGTTAACGTTCTTCTTCTGCACATGCTTAGTATGTCACAATATAATATTTAGATTGTTCTGTGAAAGCACCATTTTTGTTCTGCACCAGTGTTTTGTCAAAACATCATTCATGTAATTCCTCTGTATGCAGGCAGCACTTACAATAATGGTGGCGGCATCTATGCAACAAACCCTTTTTCTAAAAAAAAACTTTTGTTTTATGACCTAGTCACTCTGCCAGATAGCTAACTACTTGTCTGTTATCATATTCCATGCTGATATTATTGGCAAAATCATACAGCATACAGGATCCACCTGATAGGTCTCTGGACAGATGCAGCCTTTAATAAATATCCAGGCTTTAAAAATGGCTACACTTAATGAATTCCCTAAAATTAGTACTACTGCCATACTCGTGACAAAATATCACATCCAACTTCCAAGCAGGCATAAAAATGCCAATTAATGCAGCTATACAGCACTGTGGAAAAGTTTTAGGAAGGTGTGAAAAAAATGCTGTGAATTATGAAGAAATAGATGTTTATTTTTTATCAATTAACAAAATGTAAAGTAAATGAGCAGAAGAGAAATCAAATCAATATTTGGTGTGACCACCTTTTCCTTCAAAACCGTATCAATTCCTCTAGGTCACAGGTGTCAAACTGGTGGCCCTCCAGCTGTTGCCAAACTACAAGTCCCATGAGGCACTGCAAGACTGACAGTTATAAGCATGACTCCCAAAGGCAGAGGCATGATGGGACTTGTAGTTTCGCAACAGCTGGAGGGCCGCCAGTTTGACACCCCTGCTCTAGGTACACTTGCACACAGTTTTTAAAGGAACTTGGTAGGAAGGTTGTTCCAGACCTCTTGGAGAACTAACCACAGTTCTTCTGTGGATGCAGGCTGCCTCAAAACCTTCTGTCTTCTCTTGTAATCCCAGATACACTCCATGATGTTGAGATCAGGGCTCTGGAGGGGGGAAGGGGGGCCAAACCATCACTTCCAGGACTACTTGTTCTTCTTTTACGCTGAACATAGTTCTTAATGATATTGAATGTATATCTGGGGTTGTTGTCCTGCTGCAGAATAAATTTATGGCAGATCATGTGCCTCCTTGATGGTATGGCATGAGGGATGGGCATCTGCCTGTATTTCTCAGCATTGAGGACACCATTGATCCTGACCAAATCTCTAATTCCATTTGCAGAAATGCAGCCCCAACCTTGCAAGGAAGCCTCCACCATACCGAACTGTTGCCTGAAGACACATTATTGTACCACTCTCCAGCCCTTTGGTGAACAAAACTGCCTCCTGCTACAACCAAATATTTCAAATTTTGACTCCTCAGTCCACAGAACCTGGTGCCATTTTTCTGCACCCCAGTTTCTATGTTTTTGTGCGTAGTTGAGTCGCTTAGCCTTGTTTCCACATTGGAGGTATGGATTTTTGGTTGCAATTCTTTCAGGAAGACAGCTTATGCCCAGACTTTTCTGGACAGTAGATGGGTGTACCTGTGTCCCACTGGTCTCCGCCAGTTCTGTGCTGATGGCACTGCTGGACATCTCCTGATGTCGAAAAGAAGTAAGCGTGATGTGTCTATGGTTTTCAACATTGCCCATTTTCTTTGTGTTTTCTGCAAAAGAGCTTGAACAGCACATCTTGAAACCCCAGTCTGCTTTGAAATCTTATCCTGCATCAGCAAGGTCTCTCTCAGGCAAACTACCTTGTGTCTTGTTGCTGTGGTCAGTCTTGCCATGGTGTATGACTTGTGACAAGAAAAGGTCTTCTATAACCTCACCTTAGTAGCAGTTTGGTTGTTCCTCAGCCAGTTTTTTAAGCCTCCTACACAGCTGTTTCCGTTAATAACTGTGTTTTAACCTACATAAAAACATGTTGATAATTAGCTCCTGCTTGGTATAATTGGTTAATCATACACCTGACTCTAGTCCTACAAAATCCCTGACTTTGTGCAAGTGTAAAAATTGACGCTGGTTTGAAGCCAAAGGCTAACCGCTGTCCGCTGACATCAGAGTGCCAGCACAGGCTCTGCAGGGATCCTGACAATAATATTAGGATCTGCCCAAATGCCTGACCTGCAGCTGACTCAGCCTCTCCGCATGCCACTGAGAGCTTGAGTCAGCCACTTTTCTTCCCCTCCACAGCCCGGTGCTCCAGTGAGCACTGGAGGGGCAGAGCACAGAGGAGCCAAGAACTGCGCAATTAGAGGTCTTTGCTCAGTTCTTTGTGTAGAGCTGGTGGGGGAAAGCTGCAGCATTGGGTCCATGTTGTAGCCATCTAGGGGAGTATATTATTTATTTATTTTTTTAAACCCACACTTCTCTTTTAACTGTATTACGTGCATATAGATGCTGTATCTAAAGCTATTTGGATGCTGGTGTCCTAGTAATCCCCTATACAGTGAGGAACTGTAAGAAGGAGAGCCAGCTCTAGAAGCCAGTCAGACGTTGCTGCATTTCATATATGATTACCGGCTGATAGAGAAGAGAGCAGAGTGATAACTCATCACGGTGCTGCTTCTTCATGATCGGGTTATAGAAGACTGTGCTGTTGCTGTACTAGAGTACAAAAATTTGACTGTTTTGTATAACTGAGTCCCAAGACTAGCTGAATGGAATTGCAAATTAGTTCACAAGTAATACTATTCCCATATAAGTATTTTTTGCATTTAGCTACTGTACTTGCTGGGGTTCAATTTTAAATTTATAAAGGATTTACAAAGAAAGCTTCAACTTCATACTGCACCAGTAATTATTCACTGTGTATATTTTTTTTTCTTTTAGAAAGTTGTTTTACACAGGATTTGCATATGTGTGGTATCACTCATTCTTTTCCTGACCATAAGTAAGGCTTTCCCTATTGCCTATATTGTGGATGATACTTTCATTAATGAATATTCGTTTTTGACAAGACTATGCTACCTTTACATTGCTGCAATGGCTAACAAACCTAAGTACTATTTTGCATGGACTCTGGGTAAGTGAATATAGAGTATAATATTTTTAAAGAGTAGAATATTTTTCGATAAAAATGTTTTTATACATGAATACATAAATTCATGAGGCTGAACATAATGTTTGGAATCCTATTTTCATAAGATTGTGTCTATTGGATACTTTTTGGCCTGACTAATTTGAGCCATATCCTGTACTCCTGTATACATTAGTGTCTACTGCTCTAAAGCAGTATAAACCCCCCCAAAAAAATGTAATCTATTGTAGTTTACCAATCATTAGGATGACTGCATTAGTTTTATTTTGCTTTTTTTCGCTCTGTTTTCACCTGGTAATCTGGCCAGTAACACATCTCCTATACTGTTGTGACTCCAATCTGGGTGAATGGAATCAGGAGGCACAGCAGCATTGCCAGTCGGGCAAGAGCAGAGTGTTAAATGTATTTGCAGATTTAAATGCACTAACAAATTGAATCCAAATTCCAGCTAATACTTTATAATTTAGTTTTACAGTGAACAGTTTTTGTTTACTTTTGGGATGAAGGTTTTACTTAAAAACCGATCAATGCAGGCACCTCTGGCAGTGATTTAAATGGTTTGTTTCATTCCTGTAACTGATACATCTGTAAGAGAGCTTGTCCTTTTTTTTTTTTTTATCTGGATCGCCAGATAAAAATAGAAGAAATAAAGCCTAGAAAAAAAAAATGACTGCAGCCATCACATCTGAGGATTGGTAAGCTGTAATATAGTGTTTGCGTTTAATACTGATTTAGGCTGGCTATATATAGATCGAATTTTGGCCTTTTCTTGCAGCATCAGACAAAATTTGATCTTTGGTTGACTCTGATGGCACCACCTGACTCAACAAACTCTGATCTGAAGATCGAAGAAGCCAGGCAAAACAATTGTTGGCCAAACAGTGACTGCAGACAATTGGCTGTTGGGGTATTCTGACAGTCGTGTTTTGCCAGCTGTCAGATTTCAATAGCTGTCAGGCTGTTTAGCATAGATGGGGCATTGTATCAGCCAACAAAATGAATGGAAGAAATCTACGCATGTATGGCCAGCTTTACTCTGTAGGAATTACCCAATCTAGAGAAACCACGGCGTGAAATATCCCTGTTTGTGTGAGCCCTGGTTTTCTGTAAGCCTCATTTATCTGATTTTTGAGCTCTGCAGCTTTAAAGTCCTAGTAACCTCTCCATTAGAAGTATTTGGGCTCCCTGCCCAAACTCAACCCCTTGGTATGTGCGTAAATGGATCAGTAAGGTAGTGAAAATATGATAGTTTGGGTCACAGTGGGGGTTATTTACGAAGCCTGGAGGGTGCAAAAGGTGTAGTTCTGCATAGAAATCCTAACAGCTTCCAGGTTTTATTGCCAAAGCCTAATTGAACAATCTGAAAGTAGAAGCTGATTGGCTTCTGTGCAGAACTGAACCAGGTTTCATATCTGAAAGACTTCTAGCTTTTATGAATGTGTGTGAGCATGTATATATGCATTGAGAGTATGTACAAGAGTGTATATGTATGCATGTGGGCATGATTCACTTACTTTGACCCAGATTCTCTCTCAGACCCATTTTCTGATGCCTGACACTTATCTCCATAACATCCTGCTATGCTTGTGTTAACCTATCCCTGCATTACGCCTGTTCCTATTAACTCAAACCAAACCAAGGACTAGATCTTTCCTTTTTTTTTTTTTTTTACCAGACCCCCCCCCAAAAAAAAAAAAATATCATAGGCCCTAATGCAAAGCATGTGTCCTGCTTACCAATGAAAAGGTACAAGTGATGATTACAGATAGACCTGGATAATATCCTAATTCCTGTAACCTGAATAGCTTTCCTGGTGGTCACTTGAGGCCCCTACGTATGCACATCATTGATATGTAGACACGTCATACTAACGGTTACCACCTTCATGCACCTGGATGTTTCTACCTTCATTGCACTCCTGGGTCACTTTATGTTGATGGCAACAGTGCAGACATACTTGTCTAAGTACTCCTAGGTCTTCTCTTTCCAGTATCTCTTTTCATCTTATTTCTTCATGTGAATAGAGGATAAAAATTGGCTAAGTATCTTTCATTCTGGGATGAGGAAAGCGGTGCTCAATATTATTTTATAGCTAATTTATGGGATTACCGAGTATTCCTTACCAGGCTTAATTATTTTGTGCTTGTTGTAGAATGAAAACAAATATCAGATTGGTATGGTTATATAGCATATAGAATAATCTCTGTAGATTTGATCTTTTAACTGTATTTTAATTTTTTTCTAGCTGATGCCGTGAACAATGCTGCAGGATATGGTTTCAGTGGGGTGGATGAGAAAGGCAATCCCCAGTGGGATTTAATAAATAATCTCAACATATGGAACATTGAGGTGAGTTTAAAGGACATGTCAAGTAGTGATGACAATTAATATAACACACCCCTCCCCCAGCCCTCCTGCCCTAGGCACTGAAACAGTCCAGTTTTGATGAAAATTGTAGTGCTACCCTCTTGAGGGCTGCTGTAAGACACAGGTCCCCAAAGGTAGCCCTGACCTTGCAAGCCGCCCGACACCTCTGTTTTCTTTGTGCATTATGTCTGAACAAAGGGTGTCAATTTCACAGACAACTGAAAGCAACTGAGTATTTATGGAGAATTATTCAGTCAGCAAACCGTAAATAATGTTTTTGCAAATACTTTGCAGTGTAACCACCACCTTGTTGGGCTCAAAGTGTGAACACAGGTGGACTTGGCAGAGATGAACACAATGATTCAAACAGTATTTCAAATATGCTCAGTGGGAGCCTTTGACCCCAGGTATGAAAGAGAAGAAAAACTTCAATGACAGCCTGCTCCCTTAAAAGGGTTTTAAGGGAGCAGGCTGACACAGGTCCAGAGATAACACACTTTGTAAGAGCTAAATATATGCTATAAACAAATTCTAAACAGAGTCCCTCTTTAACATACGCACAGGTCTAGGCATTGAGTCATTGGCTTGAGGAGTGTTAAAAGAGTCTTGGTGGAAAGAGTGACCTGAATCTTCAGCTAGCTCAATAAGGGCCCAAAGAGATAGCTCTGCAATGGTGACCAGAACTGATGGATAATATATGTGAATGGTTCCTGATAGACTGCTAATTTATGAGAAGACATGGAGTAGAAGGTGTCTGCATGCAATGTCCCTTAGTGACAAGTGTACACAGTGTTGGCGTCTGCCCACTCGCCAATCCTGATGACACCGCGGCTCAAGGGAATCAGGATGTCCTGGAAGAGCTCCTGCAGAATCTTAAACCAGCGTAGAGGGTGCCTGGCCGAGCCCCTTATAACACTGGGATTCTGCTGTGACTGTGGCGGTGATGAACTGCATGTCACTGGTCAGTCACTCTGCCAACAGGAAGCTGGGGACGGATGCTCTGCTTGCAGGTCTGTAGCTCATCCGCCAAAATCTCCAAACCGCACAGCCTACTTAACTCTCCACTGCAGCCAGGTCCCTCCTTGCAGTTTCAGCCCATAGTTTCAAGAAGAAGAGCTTTCTCCGGAGTCCAAAATATATATCCTCTCTCAGTATTTTACTTCTCTTCCTTCCGCCGGCTGGAACCTGTAGTTCAACAGTATTGGCTCTTTGCATATCTAACCTTATGTACTACATATCCCACAATCCCCAGCTCTTTGTTGGGTCCTCCTCTTTCTCGGTGCCCCTGAACACAATGTGATTTCCAGCTTCCAATGGCATCAGCCGGGTATGGTATATGCATAGTTACATTGGCCCAAGCTAGCGAACTATGTATAAAATATCATTACCTGAAGTTCCTCTTTAAGCCTGGAGTTTGGGTTTAGCAAGTCACCTTCTAACGACATGTACCATAAGTCATGGCTGTACTTTTTCCAGGTTAGGCTGTGAGTACAAGCTTGTTTTAGTTTTATCCTGTGGATTTTGTGCTGCGTCTGCACACAGCTGTCCAATCAGTACTACAAAATAGAAAAATCTGAAATGTTTAAAAAAAATAAATCATTCTTCAGAGAGAGTCATGCCATTGTTTATTTGGCTTTAATTTCTGTCCAGGAATTGACTCCAGCCAGGCTATATCAGGCTGTGGGGTGGTGCTGGTTGGGGGAGGAACTCTGTAAAGGTAATCAGTGATATGGACGTTTTGGTCACTGTAATATTCTAATTCATATGGGCTTCTGCACATAGTGGCGACACATTTCCCTGCTTCTCAGTATGCTCTGACAATAGTGAAAACTGAAAGTGATTACAAATGCAAAGTCTTAAAATTCACAGATTAATACATTTCACTGGCCTTTAGACATACAAATAAAGGTTTTCTGGGATGGCTACAGATCAGCTTTTAAGCAACCCTGTCTCTTACCCAACTCAATCAAAGTGATAATATCCTGCATGAGAAGAGGATGAACACACTTTTTTTTTTTTTTTTTTTTCAGGTGTCCTGCTGAATTTTCACTTTCCTGAAGTTCTCTGAGTGCAGATCATCTGTTATCCAAGGCATCCAATAGATGAGTCACTTTTTTCATTCAACCAGTGGGTTGAATGAAAAAAAAAAAAAACAGTCCCAATTTCCCCATCCACACCTCCACTGAGCTATTGTGTTCTGACAGCGTAAAGACTTCCCAGCCATCAGCATACACTGATCAGCATTGCAGGCTATAGCCAGCACTACTGATTGAGCAGACAAAATCCAACAGAATTGTTGTACAAAGGTCGATCTGTAGATTTGCTTTTGTACAACCACAGTGTCCATACGTGGGTCGAAATTTGGCCAGTCCACGCTGAACCGTTCGAATTTTGATCATGTGTGGCTGGCTTAACACTTCTGGATATGTCGGACAGCCCCCTTACCCCCCTTGAGCACTGTGGTTCCTTTCACCTATCCCTATGTTACTACAGGAGACCGTAGTGATCTGTGGGTTACAGAGGAAGATTAAAAACACAACCTGCCAGAAAAGTGACTTTCTCCTTTTCTTTGCAGGGTACTTTCAGTTTAATTTTGTAGGTTAAGAGACATAGCTGCTGTAAGCAGCCCCCTTCAATGTGACAGCTTTTGGGCCTTGAGGATAGGTCTCTTGGGCACAACGTGTTTGATGGCCTGTATTCCCATGCCACAGAATGTCAGGGAATTTTTTAGAATGTCCAACAACACTGGCAGTATTTTGAGACCTCATATAGAGCCTATTTTGCAGCCATAAGTTCATTTTGAAGTCATGATTAACAAGTTTACTTCAAACCCTTTTTTTTTTTTTTTTTTTTTTTTTATACACATTAGTATTCATCCATATAATTTAAAATGTTCAAGGTATTATGTGATGATTTATAGTGATCTTCTATAAGAACATGTAGAAGGGCAATCTTTGCTTTCAAAGTCAGCAATGTGCCCATTTTTCAGCACTTCAAAACTTTTCAATTCATTTTCTAGTGCTTTAAATGTTTTGCATGGTTATTGGAGCAAGAACACTTAGTTGTATGGCCTAGATGTCAAAGATAACAAATATGTTGACAATCAAATAGTTGATGTAAATGTGTACTTTGCCTTTTAGGGTGTCATTGAGTGTGTGAAAACAGTGCTGCATATAATTTTGAATTAAATCAATGTTCTAATTCTTTCATTTTTCTTGTAGATGGCTTCAAGTTTTAAAATGTACATAGACAACTGGAATATCCAGACAGCAGTTTGGTTGAAAAGGTAATCCCAAACATGAGTAAAATAGATAATAAACTGTCTAGGATAAAAGCCCAATAGACGTCAAAGCCTCTAGCTGTATTGATAATGTCCCCCAAACAGACTGTCATTAATGTGAAAATTCACCCTAGAATTACTCTATGAACATGTTAACAGTCATAACAAAGAAACCTTCATAATTGCATGGTACCATGTTTGCCATTTACCAGTAACATAATGCAACTTAGTGTGTCACTCAGGGCCCCCCATGCTATCTACATCTTGTATTGCAAAGCTTAAAGGAAAAGTACAGCCAAAGCTATTTTGGCTGTGCTTCTCCTGTGGATCACTGTGGCTGTGCTTATCCTATGGACAGGATTGCAGTTCGTTCTGCAATCCTGTCACCTGTTTTCAGCGGACAGCGGGCTGAAGTCACTCAGCCAGTCCAGGCTGGGGAAGATCCTGACTTAAAGTAGAGATCGACCCAAGAGTCTGGAGTGGCACCTGGCTTGGCCTCTCAGGGAGCTGCTAAGAACCTAAACTAGCCGCTCCCTCCCGCACCACAGCCCAGCGCTCCAGTGAGCATAAGGGGGGGCAGAGCAGACAGCGGTGACTGATAATCACCGCTCTCTGCTCAGAGTGGCTGTGAGAACTCGGCAGTTATGTGATCGCTGAGCTCTCACACTTCGAGCTGGATGTAGCACTTTTTCTCTTTTAGCTAGGAAAAACTTCCCATGTGCCATGATGCTGGGGGTTGGGGTTGAGAAAACCAATGGGGTTCATTTACTAAAGCTGGAGAGTGCAAAATCTGGTGCAGCTCTGCTTAGAAACTAATTGGCTTCCAGGTGGTTTTTTTTGTCTTTTTTTTTTTTTTTTTTTTTTTAAAGCTTAATTAAACAAGCTGAAGTTAGAAGCTGATTGGCTACCATGCACAGCTTCACCAGATTGTGCACGCTCCAGTTTTAGTAAATCAAGCCCCATGAATTGCATGTTGACACTGTCTAATGGCTGGCTATTTCCAAAGCTCATTGCTGGATAGCAAGTCAACCAAGGTGCTGTGCATCTATCAAGGTATATGTGTTCAAAAGGCCATAGATTTAATTAAAAAACGAAAATTCGGTCGTTCAAGCGGACGACGTTGATGGTAGAAAAAATCGGCCGATTTTCATCCCTTCTACAGCCAGCAAAAAGTGTCCCTGAAGAGAGCTCTGCTATTTCTGACAGTTCCTGACATTTACAGGTTTGAAACATTGTATCTATTTATTTCAATTTAAGGATACAGAGAAACAAATAGATACAATGTTTCAACCGCTAAATGTCACTGTCAGAGAACTGTCAGAAATAGCGGAGCTCTCTGCAAGACACTTTTTGCTGGACTGGAATTAATCTTATTTTCATCCCTTACTTCTTCTTCATCCTCATCCTCTTTCTTCTTCTTCTTCATCCTCAATTCTTCTTCATCCTCATCCTCTTCTTCATCCTCATCCTCTTCTTCTTCATCCTCTTCTTCTTCATCCTCATCCTCATTCTTCTTCATCCTCATCCTCTTCTTTCTTCATCCTCTTCTTCTTCATCCTCATCCTCATCCTCTTCTTCATCCTCCATCCCTCTTCTTCTTCTTCATCATGCCTCATCCTCTCATCATCATCCTCTTCTTCTTCTTCTTCTCTTCTACTTCTTCCTCATCCTCATCCTCTTCTTCTTCCTCATCCCTCATCCTCTTCTTCTTCATCCTCCTCATGGACCTCCTCCTCCTCTTCTTCTTCATCCTCATCCTCTTCTTCATCCCGACCTCTTTTTCATCCTCATCCTCTTCCTCATCCTCATCCTCTTCTTCATCCCTCATCCTCTTCTTCATCCTCATCCTCTTCTTCAATCATTCTCATCCTCCTCTTCTTCATCTCTTCTTCATCCTCTTCTTCATCTCTTCTTCTTCCTCTTCTTCATCCTCATCCCTCTTCCTCTTCTTCTTTTTTCTTTTTGTCTTCCTCTTGCAGTCCAATGCTGCGCAGTTTTTTTATCGGTAAAAAATCGGCCGATTCGCCCACTAATTGCAGCGCGAAAACGGCCGATCGGCAAAATCGGCCGATTTTTTTCCAACTTTACCGAAAAAAAAAAACCGGCCAAAATGAAAATCGGCCGACCTGATCTGAAAATCAATGGCCGATTTTTATTTTCGGCTGAAAAATCGGCCCGATTTTCGAACCCATCTATGTTGCATAAGGCTGTTTAATACGCTACGAACCTTCCAATTCTGGTACATTATGAGGTATATAAAGCATTGTTAATACAGTATTGTCAAACAGAATCATTTTGTTAGAACAGTTACATATTTCCTCTGATCTTTTAGCAGCTTCCAGTTGGGTATAACAGAGCTTTACTGATGACTCAGTGTTTGAATAGTTGATGCATTTATGAAAACTGTTGTTAGGAGTTGAAATGCTTTTCTAACTGAAATGTACATCATCATTCTTGAGCAATGGTGGCATGTTACAGGTTAGAGTAAACCGGAGTAATGCCATGAAGTAATCCAATGGTATAATGAAAAAAATACAAAAACTATGATGGCTTTAGTAAAAACGTCACGTCAACGCCGTCTGTAGGCCCAGTGAGTTTATAAGTAAATATTGATGTTTGCTGTAAAAGTCTAGCTGGGCCCAACCCTCCTGCTTCCTGAGCCACGCTGCTGATCCCTTTATATGTTCGGTTTGACTGTGTAGTATGGAGGTAGGAGGGAGCATGGTTTAAACTCCTCTTAAGCTGGCCATACATTATACAATTTTCTTGTTCAATTTCCTTTAGATTTACCTTCAACTACATTATGTAGTGCAAGGGCCCGCCTGATTGCATACATATTGAAAGTGTTTAGGTTTGACCTCCTATTATATGGTTTTGGTAAATCTAAAGGAAAGTTGTACAGGAAAATTGTGTAATGTATGGCCAGCCTTATACAGGAGAAATCAGCATTTTCGTATAACTGCCCTCAGGGGGGGACTGACCATTTGGAAACTCGGGCACTGCCCGAGGGCCCGGGGTCAGTAGGGGGCCCCGTGAGATGCCCCTGGTACCTTTTTCATAGGCTTTTTTAAGTTTGTGCAAGGACACGGGCCCCATGATCCCCTATTGCCCTGGGGCCCCATGAGTTGTCAGTCCGCCCCTACTGCCACTACTACCTATTTCTATGATTGCTTTGATATGCAGTTTCACTAAAGTAATCTCTACTTGCATGCTCAGGCTGAACTAGCTCTGGACCTGATTCTGCATAGAGCCATAATATTGTCCTGATCCCAGCCACAACATTTCAGCTGCCCAACATGGCAAAAACATAAATGGCTTATGCAGACAGTGAATAGGCAGCAACAACTAGTTACTGCATGATCCTGTGCCAAGTTGATGGCCTGACAATGAGATGAATTGGTCTGGGCCAGACCTAGTATAATTTTCTGACACCATTTTGAAACACAGGCCAGAAGAAAAGCTCTGTTCCTAGAGCACAAATATTTAACAAGAAAACAATGCAAAAGATCCTTCTAAATTTATAGAATCAAACTGAAGCATATACATTATTCTAAGGGTTTATATGACCATTTGGTTACTTTATGAACTTAAAGAAGAACTATCAGCAAAACGTTTTTTTTTTTTTTTTATTATTATTTTGGATAGAGCAAGGGAGGGTTATAACCCCTGTCAGATTTTTTCTTTTCGCTTTCTGTGTCCCATTGCAGAGATTTCCTTCTTCACTTTCTGTTCCATAGCCAAACAGGAAGTGAGCGGAAATCCCTGCAAATAAGGGAATTCCTTGGGGATCTCCAGGTCACCAGATCTAGTGTCCCCATTGGAAGATGTCCCCACAATTACTTTTCTGGGGACAACTCAAAATTTGGGATTTTCTTTTACTTTCATTGATAATGGTAAACAATGCAAATAGAGAGACTGAATCTCCCTAACAGGGACACAGATAGCAATAAAAATTGACAAGAATTCTAATTCCACAAAAAAAAATTACCTTTTAGTTATACTTTAAAGCAGTGGTCTCCAAACTGCAGCCTGGGGGCTGGATGCAGCCCTTTCCTTGCTTTTATCTGGCCCTTGGGGCACGATTTCATCCACTGATACCAACAATGAGGCATAATTTCCCCCACTTACACCATCTAAGGGGCACAATTCCTCCCAATAACTAAGGGGCACAACCGTTCCTCCCATTGACGCAAACAATGGGTCTAGTTCTTCCAACTGACACCAAAAATGGGGCACTATCCCTCCTACTGACATCAAAGATGGGACATTGTCTATTCTCACTGACGTCTTGATATTTTATACTCCCAATGGACACAGTTCGGCCCCCCTAAATTCTGAAGGACAGTAAACTGGCCCTTTGTTTAGAAAGTTTGGAGGCCCCTGCTTTAAAGTGTTACTAAACACAGGATCCTGCATTCACTATATCTGCACTCCCACAGTATACGGAACATGGAAATGCAATTATTTTAGTAAATATAAACTATTTTCTCAACATCAGTATGTAGTGACTTGTATCAGTGTCCGGCTGAGTTTTCATTCTCCTCTGACTGTACTATGAGGCTGCAGAACCCCTGACCCTCTTTCTTGACAGTGCTGTTTGATCCTGGGCTGATCACATGTACCCTTCCAAAAAAAAAAAAACCCGCTGTCTGCACATGCTCAGTTTGGTTTGTATTGCTAGAGTGCGTCCTAAGGCTCTGTACTATCAGCAGATGGATTGGGGTACTGTGGAAGAAGGGGAGGATCTGAGAAGACCGGATCAAACAGCCTTTTTACACAATGCGAAGGATTAACTCCACAGTGAGTGCAACGAGCTTTACTGCATTAACAGACTGAGTTTACTGTTGTGGGTAACACTTTAGGGTTAGCTGGAAAGATTCAGGTGTTCAACATTCAACTCTCCTAGTTAGGCAAGTATAAACTAGTTCTGTGCTCACCTAGGTGAGCACAAACAAACCACACATGTGAAAGGAATCAGGAGCAGCACTGCAGCAAGGAGGTATCACGCTATTGGTCTCCTTTCTTTGTGGCCCTTGGTGAGTCACATATCACCTATAGAGCCACCTAAGAGAGAGACCGTGGATTATCAGCAACATCCAGTGGGTGGAGGAATATCTGGCTTGACCTGACCTTTAGAAGTTACCAGTGGATCTAGTAGAGAGAACTTATCTCTAAATGCGCAGTTACACTGTGCATCTGGTGAGTGCACAGCCTTATCCTTCTCACGTTCACTGCATGGAAGCAGCACTTTGAAGGAGAGAAATTGTCACAAAGACTGTTTTTGCACTGCAGGTTACTCTGCTTGTGACATAATGTTTGGGATCACATTAGTCACTTAATCACTACATTGATATCTTGGATGTTTTTTACTTAAATACTTGTGATATAGCGCCGCATCCTTTATATTTCATGTTTTTGTAAGGTTTTTTGGTATCCTTTTTGATGCTGTGGCTGCTTTAATTTTCACAGCGCTCACAACTTCTTTTATACTTATAAACTAGTTCTGTATGTGATAATCTGTGATATTCCCCATTTCTGATTTCAAATTCAGTTGACTGTGATTATCAGGTACACATAGAATAGTGGGACATTCTTGTGTAAAGACCTCTGAAAACTAATGTCAATTGGACCAGTTGGGGACAAGAATCTAAAATGTGTATCTTTAGTCCAGTGAGCATGCTGCTGTTTGTAATTACATGGTCACACAATAATCGTAGATTTCTGCCTAAAAATGACTATAAATTGACTATGCCGTCTGTTCAGATGTCTTGAGAGACAATGAGCGGACTACTATTGCTGACCTGCCTCTGAAAATGCTAGCTACCTGGCTTGTACTGCACAGCCTGTGTTTAGTATCTTCTCAATCCTTATTCATACCCCATGGATAAGTGACTTGGATGCCATTGACTGCAGTGAAAGGCTCACGATGGAAGACTTGATTGGAATGATTTGGAAGGAGGGAAACCGCTTAGGATCGTGCATTCCTAGATTGTAAGCTCCAAGGAGCAGGGCCCTCCTATCTCTTGTATTGAACTGTATTGTTGCTGTATTGTCTCCTGTTATATTGTAAAGCGCTGAGCAAACTGTTGGCGCTATATAAATCCTGTATAATAATAATAATAATAATTTAAATGACCTTTTCTTTTCAAGCTGAACTCCAGGCAGATATAAAAGCGAAAGTTATTTCAGGTCTGTGTTCGTTATTCCGTGATTAAAGCAGAACTCCAGGAATTGTCTGTTTTTCAATGCTTATATTGGTCCACTATGACTTGATGTAAGCATCCATATCAGATATCCGAAGGGGCCATGAGGATGCTGAAAATCTCTGTAATAGTCCACGCTGCATACTGTGATAGTTGTGATCTTCTGGTTGTTGCTCCAGCAGCTTCCCCTCTGCACACTGAACACAGGGAGTCTTCAGGAACTCAGGGAATTATTTTTTTTTCATACTTACATTGGTCCAACTTGGCTTGATGTAAGTATCTATGTCTGATATCCTGAGAGCTGTTGGGGATACTAAAAATTACTGTGGTGGTTGCACTACCTATAAGGATAGCCATGATATTCTGGGTGCAATTCCAGTGGCTGCCAAACTGAACACGGGGGGGGGGGGGGGGGGGGGGTGCGTGCTCAGCACTGCTGCCAATTGGGGGGTGTCTGTTACATTAGGACCATTGGCTGTGTCAGTGCAGCTGCTGTGTCATAATAGACTTCAGTGGCCTGCCTGCACGCAGCTCCTGGAAGTTTTGTTGCAGCAAAAAAAATCAGCCTGTCTACGCTATACGATCATCATCACCTGGGTGAAAGAGGCCCTACTGACCTGCAGTAGAGAAAATAGTTATCCTGCCCTGTCAGAGGGCTGTGCTGTGTGGCAGGGCTGTGTAAATCCTAGGACAGAATGAAAAAAATATAAAACCTTTACCATTAAAAACAGCTTCCATATTTGTATTTCACCTGTGCTGTAAGTTTCTTTGCTTGGAGCTGATTTCATGTTTTGCCAGTACTGATGTTTAATATTTTATAATAACCCGGTTATTGTATGTTTTACAGAGTCTGTTATGACAGAGCTCCAAAGTATCGCACAGCTTTAACATTTCTCCTCTCTGCACTGTGGCATGGTGTTTATCCTGGATACTACTTCACCTTTATCACCGGTATTCCTGTGATGCTGGCTGCAAGAGCAGTGAGTATTGTGCTACAAATAATAAAAATGATGGCAGTAAATAACAGCAATGTCAATACGCACAGGTGAGGGGTTGCGTCCACAGCTCCGCACCTACTGTCTCCTTCAGCTCTGAGTGTTGCTGCATGTAGGATACCACTCCTTTCCCTCTGTGGTGAATGGAAGCTCTCATGCACAGTGCAAAACATTCACTGGAACGATCCATGTAGGCTTGAAGTGTATTATACAACAGATTCAAGCTGAACCTCACTAGTCATGATGGTAGATATAGTGAAAGACATAAAGTTACTTTGGATGGCAGTTAGTTTGGATGGCAGTTATTGAGCTGTTTGGATGGCAGTTATTGAGCTGTTTGGATGGCAGTTATTAGCTGTTTTGAGCAGTTATTAAGCTGTATAAATATCAAGATAATTCATGGCGATCACGGTGTTTAGCAAAAAGCAGCTAGCACAACAGACCATGACAATAAATCTCACAGTAACATGTGTATAAAGTGCAGCGCTAAATCCTATAGTAAAACGTCCAAGAGTTTTGAAAAACACCAAATAAATTTTGCACATAGGTGCAAACAAAAGATTAAACATCAGTGAAACAATAAATGAATAAAGTCCATACAGTGTAAAATATAGGTGCTAGTGTAAATCACAATAAAATTGTAACAAAGTATAGTCCATATATGTGTCAATGGTACTGCAAGACACAAAACCGCAACGTGTCCAACTCCAAAACAGTGCCAAGGGATCCAGTGAACACTCCACCACCACTATGCACTCACCAGAATGCTACTGGTATAGTAGTAATGATCAATTGTCAATCAGATACAATGTTCAAAATCCTTAGCAAGAGATCCTCTTAGAAGGAAAGCTGGAGTAAGCATATAGATGAGAGGTTCTGGTGACTTGCTGCAGAAATGTTCAAGGAAAGTAGCTCAGACTATATTTAAACCACTGGATCTCCTTAAATGTGGTGGCTGCATTTTTTTTTCTTTTAGGCTTTTTTTCACCTGGTGAAATACACGTTATCGAGCACTGTTTATAGGCCTAATGTCATACCATAGCTGAGCTAAAGTGTTACTAAACCCACAACAGTGAAACCAGTCTGTATATGCAGTAAAGCATGCTTTTTATACTCCCTGTGGAACCTGAGTAGTTATCCTCTACATTGTGTAAAAAGGATGTTGCATTTCCGTGTACTGTGGGAGATAGTGAATGCAGAGTCCTGAGTTTAGTAACACTTTAATTGGTAACTCTACCAGACCAAACAGCTAGCCAATCTGTCAACATTTGTTATACACATGAATGGATTACAATGTTCAGATATTTGTTAACCAGGCGCCGATTTGATAAAACTAAATATTAAAGCAGTATTAAACCCAGGAAGAAACATTTATTATATTGCAGCTTACCAGTTCTTAGATGTGGTCACTGCATTAGTTTTCTACTTTTAGGCTTATTTTTCCTTTTATTTCCACTTGGTGATTCGGACAGTAAGTCTGTTATTTTTCATCTTTAACAGGTCCATTTGTATTCAGGTTGGTCTGATACTTACCTTTAGAAAAAAACAACAGGCAAAACATTTTTAGTTTGAGTAACACCCCACATCGTTCAACTGTGGTTACTTGCAGGCATTGAAAGGTGCTGCATTTTAGCACTGTTATCTAAAGCTGGGTACACACTGTGGGGGTTATTTACTAAAGCTGGAGCGTGCAAAATCTGGAGCAACTCGGCATGGAAATCGGCTTCCATTTTTTTTTTTTTTTTTTTTTTTTTTTTGTGTTAAAGCTTAATTTAACAAGCTAAAGTTAGAAGCTGATTGGCTGCCATGCACAGCTGCAACAGATTCTGAGTGCTCCAGTTTTAGTAAATCCCCCCCGAGTTTTTTTTTTTTTTTTTTTTTTTTTTTTTTTAAATTCATCCAGTGGGCTGAATTGAAAAAAAACAAAGCCTCAGATTCCTGCGTCCACCCAAGCAATGTGGATGCAGGATCCCTTCTGCTGTGCTATTGAATTCTGACAGCAGGGAATTCCCTACCCCACCCCCATCAAAATACAATGATCAGTGCTGCAGCGGATGATCAAATGCTGGTTTTCCAGCAGTACCGCTCGACATAATCTGGTCTAATGATCGCCTTTCTGTTAAACATAGAAGGATAGACGCGGTTCAAAATTCATTTGGTTCCTGCTGAATCGGATGAATTTTGAGCTATGTGTACCTAGCTTTGGAAACATTATACAGACCAAAATATGCTTGGTTCTCCTGAAGGCAACATAGACTTACCTTTTATAAAAAGCAATTCGACTTTTGTTTTTTTTGTTGTGTCAGTTGTATACCACACCAAAGAGGAACAGAAGCAGAGCTGCCTTTTTCTAATGTGATGTAATCAGTGCTCCTTACTGGAAGGCATGCTCTACCACATTAACATTCTTGAGATTAACTATTTTATACATATTCTAGACAGAGAACATGGGCTAAACCTGTTCAAAGCTGTTTTTTGGGGTTTGTAAAAACAGTATTGTCCTGCAGGGAAAAAGCAATAAATTTTATGTACACTGTTCAATTTTCAGGTAAGAAATAATTTCCGTCACTACTTACTTCATTACTTCGAAAATGCGTAAACTTGGGTATGACATCATCACGTGGATTGTGACCCAGCTGGCCATCTCCTACACTTGTGCACCTTTTTTCTTGCTGGCCATGGAACCTACCCTTAAAATGTACAAGTATGTATTCATGTTAATAGACTTGTATTGTTTAGTGTAGAGTAAGGTATTTCTGTGTGTAAAGCTTTTAATTACCATTTAGTATAAGTGATATGTATTTACATTTCATCAGTTTTTGTTTTTTTTTTTTTAAATTTTGAAGTTGTTGACTGGTTTCTTGATACTAAACTCTATATTGAGAGAGCAGTTGGGAGGCCTAATAGAAAAGCTCTGCATCACATATGTAGACATTTTGCTTTCTCTGTCTGTTAGCACTGCAGTCTTCTTCCCCAACACTTTACTATTGCACAATTTAATCCTAACAGATCTAGTGACTTGTCTGCAAACATGATTACAATGATGTGGACAGACTTAAGGTTCTGTATACACAGGCATAAAGACAATGGGGGATATTTATCAATTCTATTACACAGCCAGGCATTGCTAGGCAGGAGCAGCGAGACAGATCTGGGCAAGATTTATTATATTTAGGCAGCTGCATTCATAAATTCCCCTTCAGTTGCTCTATAGAATAGGTCTGCAACAGACTAAAACCTGCTCCAACAATTTTTTATCCATTATGTTGGTTGACCCCCTCCTCATTGTGGCACTGCTTGGGGACATCCCTGTTTTGTCATGGATAAAGAAGAGCGGCTGTGTCCATCAATGAACGTAAGAGAAAACTGGATTTTGTGTTACTCACTGTAAAATCACTTTCTCTGAGTTCATTGACTGACACAGTGCCCACCCCTCTATGGAGTTTCTCCTTCAACACTGCTTGTGACGGACTGAAGGCCTATATCAGAGAGGGGGTTTTATGTCCAGAGAGGACTACCCGTAGGAGATGCCAAGTTTTTTTTTTTTTTTTTCTTCCTAGTGACCTGCTCCTGTAGGTGGGGCTATAAAACCCTGTTTAGTTATGGATAAAGAGGAGCGGCAATGAACTGAGAGAAAAGGATTTTACGGTGAGTAACAAAAAATCCTGTTTTTGCCCCATGGTAAAGTGCATATTTATAAAACAGTTTGTAAAAAAAAAAAAATACTCAGTGGCTGACTTGTGCATTCTCATCTGACTGCCATCTAATCAGCGTATAAGACCATCTGCAGTCTTGTTTTAAAAGGCAGTGCAAACAATGATAAGGTGCAAGATGTGGTAAAATACAGCAATCGGTCAGATTTCAAATTTCATTGTGTAGAGTAATTAAAAAAAAAAAAAAAACTCTGGATGGAATGTGTATTTCCATTTTTTTTTTCTTTATTGAACTAGCCAGTTAATGTAAACTACAGCCTAAGAGCTTGTTCACACTTGACTTCTTCCCAAACACCCCTATAGCATTTGACAGGTGTTAGACAGGCGTTTAACGCTCCCCAAACTCCCTATGCGCATTTTGGAAGCATTTTCCAAACATTGAAACAGCACCACAAACTCCTATAATGAAGTTAATGGTATTAACGCCCCGCAAACACCTGCCAGGCATTTGAGGAGTGTCACCATAACGCTTCAGTGTGAACAGTGTGCTGCCATGTGTATAATTTTCATAGGCATTTGAGGAGTGTTAAAAACACCTGCTTACAAAGCAAGTGTGAACTTAGCCTTAAGAAAAAACTAAAAAAATACTGGCAGGTGTTCAGGAGGAGATTCTACCAAATCCGGAATTACTGTTTTTATTTTTCCCCTTAACGTTTAAGGAATCATTCACATGGTGGTTAAAAAAAAAAAAAGGAAAAAAAAAATATACAAAAGGTTTTTAATTAAGGATCTGAATACAGCTGCATTGGTTTCAATGAAGCCATTCACACAGGTGTGTAAACATGAGTTGCATTTCGATCTGTATCACAGAATCCAAAAATCTGCATCTAAGGGCTCATGTACACTACAGCTGATGAACTCACGTTTAGGAGCTGTTCAGCGTTTTTTTTTTTTTTCAGCAGCCCCTGAACTCATTCTAATGTTTTCCTATGTGTCCATGTACACATCATTTAGTCATTTACAGGCATTTGAATTTACAGTCGTTTTCTTGAACGCAGAAAACTTGCGTTCAGCAGTTGATTTTGTCAGTGTTTCAAATGCAAAATGCTTGTAAACACGGAAAACCGCTTTTATAAGCAATTGTGTTTGAATTTTTTTTTTTTTAACTCTTCCAGTTTTCTGATGCTGTCCAGAGCCTTTTTTCATCATGAAAAATGTATCCAAAGCCTTTTCAAGGTACTCAAATGGACAAGACACTGAACACAGGATGTTCCAACCAAGCTTGTCACACATTGTAATGACCAGTTCACACCTCAGACCTATCCCACCCTTGGAAACAAAAGATATGTTAATGAACATTCACACCTCAAATTCCTCATGAAGACCCCCTGCCAGGTGGCCTTAATGACTCCACCAGACACCTTTCCCACCCTTGGAAACAAAAGAAATGTTAATGAGTAACTCACACCTAAGCTAATCTCAACGCATACTGCTGTCTCTGCTTCTACTCTCTGTATTTCTCTGAAACAGTCTGAAATAGTTAATAATTTACCACTTTTCAGTGCATACTGGGCATTTGAGAGGTTCTCCTGTGCTTATCTTTAAAAAATGCTTCTAAACGCAAACGCGGCTAAAAATACTTTTTTACCTACTTTTTCCAGAAGTCAGTTTCCAGCGTTCAGAAGTGTCCTAAGTACATGGGGCCTAAAGAGCATGCTCTTTACACTCTTACACATATATAAATGCTAGTATACACATTTGTAAGCACATAAATGAAGTCTAAATAAAGGGGAAAAATAGATTATCATTATGTATGCATACGTGTAATCAGATTAGTAAAACTATTACGTCTGTTTGAATGAAGCCTTGATGTTTCCTTCTGTTACATGGTAAATCTAAAGGATCAATCAATTGCACAGTGTGTGGCCAGCCTTAAGCTATGTCCACTCATCACAATGAAAAAGTTCAGGACATCTGAAAAATAGCATTTTTGTGAAATTAAACATAATTTTTTTTTTCCCGCCTAGGTCATTCTATTTTTACTTCCATATTGCTGTTATTATTGTGCTTTTTGTTCTGCCCAACAAGCCATCAAAGGACAGACAACGATATTACTCTAAAAAGACTCCTTTATCCACAACCAATCATTTGGAAGAAAAGGAACCCTTCAAGCACATGAACAATAACTCCAGATGAGTGACAGATGGACAATGGACTTTATACACAATACGTGTTTGCTCACACCAAAGACTGAGAATATTGGACGGCCCAGTATCCCAGTGTCTGATACCTTTTTTTTTTTTTTTTTTCGTATTTAAGAGACAAACGTTCCACATTTTAATACTAAACATTTCAGTTATGTGAATGGTGTTCTAGAGTAAGCCAGCCATATCATTCACGAAGGATCATCCATTATAACAAAGTACTTCAAAGTCATCTACACACTACTGTAATAATGCTGATAAATTGCCATCATTTCATTTAAAGGGAAGGTATAATTTTATGCATTTTTTTAATATAAAATTGTAAAAAGGATCAAGTGGATGTAAATAATCTTATCAATATAGATCAAGGTTTTAAAAACTCTGGATAAGTTTCAATTATTTAATGTGTCCATATTTGTTTCCTCCTTTACAGTGCTATACAATGGTCCTGTTTTTTATTGTATAATTCTCACAACGTAAGTCTTTGACTTGTACAATTAATTTTAACAACAGCCATTTGAAAGTGCAAGCATGTAAAATGAGAAAATCTCAACAGTTTTTCAAAGTGACTTTTAGAGTAAACCCTGCAACAATAACACAGGTAGGCTGTACAGGGCCCTACAGTTTATAATGGTGGTCCGATAATAGCAAAAAGCTACATATAATCTTCATCCCAGCGGTGCTCATATGACTAAAGCTTAGGCATCAGTCACGTGGTTTATGCTGAAAGCAAAGATTATTGTACAGTCGGAGCCTCTCACAGACAATGGAATGTACCTGCAAGCAGATCAGTTACTTACATTAGTTAGTTGATTTTTAGATTTGAAGCACACCAGCCAAATTAATAGCTTGTTGGGAGGAGTGCAAAATATCAGCACGTATGTGTTATTAGGAGAGGAAAACTTACAGGGCAGGTGATTCCTGTTTGCAGGGATGATGCCAGAGAAACAACAACGTGTCATAAGTGCTAGGTATCCACAGATTCCAGATCTGAAATCATTTGTACAGATTGGAACAATTTCTTTTTTTTTCTCCAAAGAGGCCCAGCACTGGAACTACCTGGCAGTGCCTTAATAGCAAAACACACATGCCTGGGTTCCCAGTTATGCATGTTTATGGGCCAGTTGGATGTTCAGCCAGTTAGATTATGCCTGCCTATCCAGCAGTCTTCTGACATCTATATAGGGCTGACCACCCGTTAAATAATCCTTACTGAGCTGAAGCCAAACGGAAATTGCAGTCTCTAGAGTTGTCCTTTTAAATATATATTCCTTAAAGTGTAACTAAAGGCAAAACTTTTGTTAGTTGTGGACAAAGAAGAGAGGAATTAGAAAACGTGTCAGGTTTTTATTACTGTCCTGTGCCCCCTTTAGGAAGTTTCATCTTCTTTATCTATCATATCTGTTTACTATTAGCATTTAGAGTGAAAGTAATAGAAAATTAAAAATTTTGGGTTGTCTCCAAGACAGTAATAGAGGGTAAATCTTCCAATGGGTATTTCCTCTCACTTTCTGTTTTGACTATGGGACAGTGAAGTGAAATCTCCCCAATAGGATAAAAAAAAAAAACACTTGGGTCCCTCGCTTATTCTACTCAAAATGGAGAAAAAAAAACGTTTTAAACACTCAGGGGTCCCTTGCTTATTTTATCCAAAAATGGAGAAAAAAAAATGTTTTGCCATCAGTTCATTAATTGTACATTACAGGACATGGGATGTTACTCAAGAACCAATGGTTCTTCAGGAGAATTAGACCCTGTCAAGCAAAGTTGAAAGGACAGCCCAGTTTAACCCCTCCCACCCCCAGCATGCATCAGTTTTTTGCTTCTGTTTTTGGAAGAACGGAGTAGTCAAATCTTTCTATGAAAACAATTTTTCCTCTATAAAGGCACTTCAGTTGCTGCAGAGCCACTGAGGCTCCTATTTTAAGTTTTTGGATCAGTTACTTCTTGGCTTTTACCTGGGGTTCGGTACCCAGACCCCAGCAGTAAGATGGGGGCTGACCTCTATTGTCGCACTCCAGACAGTGGATCCTGCATGTGGAATTCACCTAGGCATATGGCACTACTCCCTGAAGATCTGATAGCCATCAGATGGGCCAAGACTGTATATGGGGCTTGTCCCAAACACCCTTCCTTTCTGCCTATAGGTAGCTGAGGACACTAAGAAGAGTTTTGTGAATAAGGGCTGTTGTGCATTTAAAGAGGAGCCCAGAATGCTTCTCCAATCCTCAAAGGGTTAGTCAATGGAGCGCAGGCTGTAACACATTCAGTCATAGGTAGGAGAGGATGGCTTGTGGTTTACGTTTGGCACCATTTTTAAGGTTTCATAGGTGCCCCACTGAGCTTGCACAGCCGCCTTCTAAGTCGGGCTTACTATACCTGCTTGGACCATCTTGTGACAAGCATGTCTATCTTGTCTTCTCCACCAGCAATCCCTCAGAACATATCTTCCGGGCTCTTTGCTTCTTTTAGTAAGGATCCCAAGCAACATAAACCCCTCCTGCCCTGCAGTAAATTGTGAGTACCCTTATGATGCATCATAGGCACAAGGTGGACAGTTCTGGGGGTCCTGCTGATTTCTGTTTTGACTAAGCATGTAGGGGGTGTTTGCAACATCTCTTCCCCTTAGGGTCATGATGATGTTAGTCTGGACCACTGCCCCCATCCGCTACCCTTCTTGGGGGGCTCCTTAAAGTTGATCTCAATGTATCATTTAACATTAAATAGTTTGTGTAGACCCAATCTGGTCTAAACTAACTCTTCACTAAAAGTTGCAGTGGCTGTGTGTGTTTGTTTGTTTGCATAAACTGTATTTAGCCTTTGGCTACTTATAGTGTACAGCACTATGTTTCGACAGCGGGACAGGAACATCCTTCTCTGCTCAGCCATTCAGAGGAAACTTTGTCCTCCTCAGCCAGTCAGAGGAAGATTTGTGTTCATTCATAGAATACAAGGGAGCAGATTCACTTAGGGTTCATGTACACTACAGCTGATAAGCTAACGTTCAGGAGCTTTTCTGCAGTTTTTTTTTTTTTTTTTTTTTTTTTTCCAGCAGCCCCTGAGCTCTCCCTAATGTTTTCCTGTGTTCATGTAGACTGTTGTTTACAGTCATTTACAGGCAGTTGAGTTTACAGTTGTTTTTTTGAACGCACCAAACTTGCGTTCTGGAGTAGACTCTAGCAGCGTTTCAAACGCGGCTAACCGCATTTATAAGCGTTTGCATTTAGAAGCGTTTAACTGTTCCATATCCAAATGCTGTCCAGAGCCTTTTTTCATCATCAGAATGCATGCAAAGTGTTTTCCATGCATTCAAATGGACCTAGCACACCAGTGAAGTCCGTTCCAGGTTTTTTGTGAAGGGAAAATGGTAGAACGTGCTGCATTATGTTCATGATGGGATCCATAGTGAATACAACCAGAAAAGACAGCTAATCTCAACACATACTGCTCTCTCTGCTTCTGCTCTCTCTATTTCTCTCAAAATGTCTGAAATAGTTTTTTTTACTGTTTTTCAATGCATCCTGGGCATTTTGGAAGGTCTCCTGAGGTTATCTTAAAAAAAAAAAAAAAAAAAAAAAAAAAGCTTCTAAACGCAAACGCTCATAAATGCGGTATGCAAACGCGGCTAAACAGACTATTTTTACCTACGTTTTCCAGCAGTCAGTTTCCATTGTTCAGAAGTGTTTTCCAAACGTCCCGTGTACATGGAGACTAAAACTGGTGCACATAGAATTTAGTTCAGCTTATTTTGGTAGTCGGTGAGCTTGTTCATTTAAGCTTTGGCAACAAAACCTGGAAGCTGACTGATTTCTAAGCAGAGTTGCACCAGATTTTGCACTTTCCAGTTTTAGTAAATAAACCCCATAGATTCCTCTGAATGGCTAAGACGTGCTCAGCCCGAATTTGATTTTGTTCCAGAAGTTCTGGAAGTTCTTGTCCCACAGCACTGTTTACGGTATATAGCTGAAGCTACATACAGTCTATACAGCGCACGCAGCCACTGCAACTGTTAGTGAAGTAATCCAGCTCGGTCCAAAGTATTTAACGTGAGATAAAACATGAAGATTATCTTTTAATTCTTTCTGGGGTGGCCAACTCCTCTTAGAAAATGCCTCCCTTAACAAATACAACGTCAAAACTTGGTATCAGTCAGTTCTCAGCCTTGTTAGAGTTCTGCAGGATCAAGCAGGCCACTCTACATCACCTCCATAGTCTGTCTCTAATTTTCCTTCAACAGATGTTTTTCCTATTCAGATGTGGAAGATGAGGGAGGTACTTTGTCAGGTTTTGAGAACTCCGAGCAGGAACTGAGTCTGATCTCAAAAACCTAAGGACACCACTTTGGTCTTTGACACAGTGTGCACTGCCTTGACGTAGAGCTGCCTAAGTTGACCTTGCCATGCAACCTGCTGTTTCAAAAATGTCCATCTCCCAAACTCTGCTCATCTGATCCAAGATCATGTTTTGGGATCATAGTTATATACTTAAAACATGAAGTGAGAAATCATGCTAATGGTGAAACAAATATTGTGTGAACATTAGCTGCAAGCATGCTAAGTGATATTTACCATAGCATACTAATTAGAGATGAGCGAATCGAAGTAGGCGAAGTGGAATTCGAGTCGAATATTGGAAAATTCGCGCCGAATCCGAAAAATAGCCTACTTCGGACGCGCGAATCGAAATTTTTCCTAAAATGGCGGCGGACATGTGCGGCGACGGAGCGGGGATGTCTGGGAAGGCGCGCAGACAAGGCGCGCTGACCCATAATGCATTCCTTAATGACATGTGATTGCATTAGCCAATCAGCAGCCAGCCAGCCAGCACTGTGTAATGGTCGAGCTTTAAATAGCGGCCATTTTAGAATTCTTCATTTGCCTCCAGTCATTCAAGAGAGGCAGACCGCTCTGTATTAGGGACAGAGTTAGGGCCACAGAAACGTTACTTGGGGACAGAGAAACGTTACTTAGGGACAGAGAAGCATTACTCAGG